CACTCATGTGATTATATTTCAAAATGTTAACATATGTAATTACAATTATTGTTTTGTTTTAGTTTTCATTCATGTAAAACAAAACAACAAGTGTAATACATTGTGTATGCATCAAATTAATGGAAATAGTGCAGTTAAGAATTATAACAGTTAGCTTTGTTTTCATGCCTTCTTTACAATACTCATGAAACTTCTCCTTAATACTAGAAGCTATCCAGGTACGGTAATTTATCTAAAAGTTTTAGCATGGCCATGTGTTCAAATCAATGAACAGTGTCATTTAATTATTACATAGCAGTTCATTTGACATTCTACAGAAGGCCAATATTTCAAAGAATTTTTTTAAAAGTTGTTACTATATACACTTGAGGTGAATAGATGGTGTATATTATTGTATGTTTCCAACTTTTTAAAGTTTTGATTTAATATTTTTTGTCAACTATGTATGAGGAAATGCAGATACCCTTTTCAGAGAACTTTATACTTCATACAATTAAAGAAACTATTAGTTCTAATTTTCTTTGATATGGAAATGTCTACATGTGTGGTGAATATAAGCTTGTTCATCTGTTTTGTTTGTATACAAATACACTTATGTAAATTTATATGCAGATGTGTAGTGTATCTACCTCTGGCCTTTATGGGCTGGTGCTAAGGGCCAGCCAAAAATTTTATTTACTGTTATCATCCCTGTAGGTAAATTATTGTTAAAGTAAACATTTTGAGTTATATTTGATCTCACAATGATGGCCTCAAGAATGTGTCTAATTAAACCTTCAGTGTCCATTGATGTTCACCAGCAGTGAGCTAAGTCGAAGCTAAACACAAATGTATGGTTGTCTGCATCTCTTGACTCTTTCAAACCAGTCCTACAGAATACTAAAATGGTAGGACAAGGGGAATCAAGTATAAATTTTGGCCGGGTAGGAATCATCTTCAGCTAAGACAGTTTTGTGTGTCTAACAGGGTGGTTGACCATTGAAATGGTTTGCAATGAGATGTGGAGGATGCAGTTAATTTAGAGAAGTTTAAGACTTGATAAATATTTAAGTGATAAGAGCTAATTTTGAGTTTTTTTGGTTTTGTTTTCTTAAGTTTAGTTTAGTGAATGAAACAGTTTCAATAGACATTATTGTCCTTATAAAATGAAAAAAAAAATTACATTACTAACCTGTAAGACTTAGCATTATGGTTCTGCTAAGGATTTTAGCAGGGAAGAGTACTCTTAACAAGATCATATTATAAAGTTTTTTTGTCACAGTCTTCTTCAAAAATGAATGAGACCTTATAGTTCATCTTATAATATCTTATTTCAGATAAAATCAGCACGTGATCGTACAAAATCTTAAGTAATACTTTCACTTGGGTTGATAAGCTCTTCTTTAGTTAGAACCTTAACAGTTATATAGTTATTGAAAATAATATTGCACTTAATCACTTTTTGATATGCAGACCATACATTTACTTCCTTCTCATTTTAATGTGAATGGTTTCAAAAGTTTTGTGTAGTCTTGAGTCTGCAGTTTTCATATATACATGTGGTTCAGGAAATCATTAACTTCATTCTAGCTACATTTGTTCTTTATACTTGCTCTGCTCATGGAGACATTGCTATAGTGCTGCACATTGTGCAAGAATGCCAATGACAACAGTGTCCTTTACTGGTAGATCATATGATATCTAGAGGTTATGTCCTCCCCTATTTTCAATGAGAATGATCAGTTGCATGACATGGGTAGTACTAATCACTATGGGTAAATCCAACTTTTCCTGGAGCATTGGATTCAAACAATTCTAGACAGTATCTTATGTAAGTTGGTTGACAGAAAGATATCTTGAGGAAAGAACAACTGTTGATCAATTCATAAATACAGTAGAAGGTGACTGTTCAGTGTCCAACACAAGTATACATGCTGTGTTGTTTTGTTTTTGATATATATATATATATATATTGCCCCTTTTCCATGTACACATTTTGTTCAGTCTCTTTATTTCTGAGCTTAAAATAAAGTCAGTTAGTCAACTTCAGATTTACTATGTAATTTATTCAGTTGATCCTTCCATTATAAAGCAGACCTACTAAAGACTTCTTGTGAAAATCAGTTCACCTGAGAATATTACAACTTTATCAAGATGTATTTTTGTTTATAATTATTCAGTATAAAAACTGTGGGTATAATTGCATTAAGATTAATTGGACTAAGGTGTTTAAAAGCAACAAATATTTACCTTAAACCAGGCAATACAGGAGTAATTATTCTGAATAAAGATGATTATATTAACAAATCACGAGGCATTCTTTATGAATCTGATAAATATAAAGAATACATTCTGTGCCATCACATAAAGAAAAAGCAAATTGTAAAAGTATCTAAAATAATTTACAAATGGAAGAAATTAGAGAAGATTCTACAGGTTTTGTTTTCCTGAAGCTTCTTTCCAGTTTGTTTAAGTTATTTCATTCTTTCAAAGATAAATTCTCAAACTAAAGTGCCCTTTTCTTGTGCACAGGTTATATTTGTAGATGTTATGATCAGTCTTATGTTGGGTTTGTGGTCAGTCTGCTAGAAGGAGCAAACTTAAAAGAACATTTAAAACCAAATATAAAGAATAAATCAGTGTTGCATATGGCATCATATAAGCACAAATGATGAAAGAACTTGAATTAGAGTCTTCTCATTCATGTACTAAAACCTGAATTGTTTCAACTATAGCGAGTTTCAAGTGGTGATGAAGACAATACTATTACTTTAGGTGATATCTTAATTCACATTTGATTAGATACTAACAGACTATACAATTGTATACCTATTGAAAACATAGTTGAAAAACAAGTTGTTTTACTTTTACCTGAATACTACAAGTTTTTGTAGTAACATGTTAGGCTTGTAAACTTTTATTGGTTATAACATTATTGTTACACGTCATGGAAGTTTTTGATGCTTGATTAATTGGAGGGTATGATATGGTATCTATGTTTTGAGGTTTCTTTGTAGAGCCTATGAAAATAAAAAGGGGAAAAAGTTTTGATTACTAAAAATTAGCTTCATGCTAGGAAGTTTGTAATTCTGTGGATAGTGTTTGGATTGATGAATCTGACTGAAAAGAACAAAAATACACAAGCTTATACTTTTTATAGGCCTCTATATTACATGTATGTTTTTCATAATTATGAGGATGTCTATAGACAAATGGCTATACTGCTTATTTATGACATTCAACTTGGGGAATTTAATAATTACTTCTGATCAAAGAAAGCTACTTACATAGATCAGATCAAAAACCAGTGTAGTAATGAATATAGCTATTTTAAGATATTGTTGTAACTTGAACAGACTAGAATGCATTGTTTCATCAGTTGGGTATCCTCGTTGTTAATGATATATTTAACTGTAGTTTGCTAGGGAAAAGAGCTAGGTTAGGGAATTGCTTTAATTTTTGAGGAATTTGTTTTACTCAGTGTGTCAAAAAGTGGACTTGAAAGTTGATTTAGAATCTTTGTTTCTATTAAATGTCCAAAAGTGAGATATCATTCATAATTTTGTTTTGTAAGAACATTTATGTACTAATGATTATACATATCATTACTTTTGATGTTTACATACAGATCTTATTTATAGTAAATAAGCATTATATTACATCTATAATTTATGAATGTCAGTTTTCAGAAAATATAAGGAACAAATTGCAGTTTGGGAAACTTACCAGTTTGGTTACACTTGATGAAAATTCTTTTATTCCTTCTAAATTTTGAGTTTGAACTGTGGGGGTAATATATAAATTTGAAAGGATGTAGTTCTCTTATCAGAAGAGCACTTATGTTGTGGAGGAAGAAGGATTTAGGTGTGATTTTTGAGAAAAGCTAGACTCTTTTGCTACCATTTAGTCCAGTGTCTGATAAAAAGGGTTAGCATAGCTTAGGAATTTATTTGAAATATATTTTTAAGAATAATAAACCTGTTGTATACTTGTATGAAGTTATGGTGAGGTCAATTTTTAGAACTTATGTTGAGTTGTGGACATTAGGATAATTATATAACATCTTTAGGTGGTGCAGAGAAAGGTTTTTGCTTGTTTATACTGAGGTGTTTGAACTTATTACTGTTTCTATATGGTTATTTAAGAGTGTTGGAATGAAAAGCTTTGAAGTAAGGACATAAAATAATGGGAGTAATAAGTTTGGACAACCTAGATCTGAATTTATCTGAAGCAGAACTGGCACTCTTAGTCCTTCTTTTGAACTTGTGAAATGTTTGATCTGTACCAGATTATGTGTGATGTGCTACACAAATTCATTTACTTCTGATTGATGTGAAGGATGTCTTGGGTTGTGAACTTTCTTCTTATTTGGAAATCTGAATGGCTTCCTGTTACTTTGCTTATTCTTATGCTTTTGTAGTCTATGGCTAAAGAAATACATTCTTATTAAAAAATTTTATTGTTTTACTGGAAAGATAATGTGAAGTTAGTCAAGTTAGTCCTTTTTTTTTTTTCACAAACTGTCTAATGTCTTTTTGTTGCAGCAAATTACTTAAGAATATGAACTTAAAGTTGCTAAGAACAATACTTAATTACATTTAGTTACTAGTATTGTTAAATGGTTTTCACTATGTATGGAACATAAGGATTTTATATCCTATTTTGACTTTATTAGAACATTAATTTACACTTCTGTTTTAATGTTTTTGATTGTGAATCCAGTAATAAAAATTTACTTTTATTTTCTTTTTGGAATTAGAATAGTGCCTTGAACTTGAGCTCTCAAAATTTATTGAAATAAATTGAATTTGTAGTTTTAACTAGCAATAGTAATTTAAAAGCTTGAAAAGTAACATTGCTGAAGTTGAATCTAAAGGCAAGAATATTATCACCATTAATTAGCAATGAGAACTTGCACCCTTACCTTTTTAATTTATCTTCAAGTCATTACTATTATTATTGTGGATATTTTAGTTTAACTTTGCTTCATCTAAGTCTAATGGTGTACCTTTTCCTTACAGTATAAGCTGTGATTACCATCAAGATGGATAAACTGGTAACATACATTTTATGGTGCATGTTTAACATTATTTTTTTTTTTCATGATTTCACTTCTTTGCAAAGCTTGCTACTGTTTTCTGCTTTTAGGTACTGACTGCTAACACTTGTACAGCTTCTAATGTTCAAAACGTTGATAAAACTTAAATGTTTAGATTAAATTTACCAGAATTTTATTTTTTGGTAAAGAGCCTAGTCATTGAGTTGACTGGATTTTAATCTATGAAAAATTTTTATGATAATTGGTCACTTGTTTTATCCAAGGCTCAAAGTTAATGAAGTTTTAAGTTTAGGTTAGGTTAGGGTCAAAGTGTTCTTCTGGTGAGGAGATGGATGTGTTAGACCTGTGTTGCTGCTTAGTGACAATTCTTAGTATTGTAGGTATTGACTCATCCTGGTCAGCCATGTAGAGATAGCATACACATATGATCCCCTGAATAGAATGTCACTGTCATCATGGATTTCACACTACATGTCTTTTACACCATCTACTAAACTATAAGTTTCAATCATGTCTATATTTCATCTTTGCAGTTTCACAGTAATATCATGTAGGTGTGACAACATTTAGTACACAAAGAAGTTACAAGAAAATCAAATATAGCATTATATAATAACGATACTGTATATTTCAGGGATGGTGAACCTATGGTATGGGAGAAAATTTCTTGACACGCAGAATTCACTGCTGTCCCAAGGTTTTCTTACCCGACCAATATTTATATATATATATCTGGGAGCGTAGAGCTTGTATATATCTATAATTAATTAGATATATAATATAATAATTATATATGAAATATATATATAAATTTATAATATATACAATCGATAATGATAACAGTAATTTTGCTGCTCAAATTCCATGGGAACGTGAAATAATTTTTCCGAAATTTATTGACAATTTGGGCACGCTCTCAAAAAGGATCGCCAACCCTGGTATGTTTCCTGCTCATTGGATCTTAAAGTGTTGTGAACTAATTAACATCATATCGTCATTTTTGTGTAGCTATATGTAACAATTTCTGAAGCTTTTACCATGTGTGTATATGTTACTAGTACTTTGTTAGTAATGACTTTTTTTAATAAATCTTTCTTTGAGTTGTAGTTAAAAAATCTGTTAAATTCTTTAAATTTATCTAACCTATTGCTCATGCTTATTAATTTATATGAATTTACAATTACTAAATTTAAACATTGCCCACTGTAGTAGGTATAAGTGATTAAAAGGGCTCTTTGATTCATTTTTGTACTCCAACTTTTCACAACTCATAGATGCAACACCATCATAACTCTGCTTTCTGATGTTTTCTTCTCACAACCCAAGTTTCTTTAATGTCATGAGTTTGGTGTCTGCAATGGATTCTCCAGTCATTCTAGTGAGAGGACAAAACTCAATGAACTTCCCTTTGATGTCTATTACTGTCTACAAATTTGATAAATGGAAACATCTGTTTCTTACTATGAACTCCAACCTCCTTTGCCATAATTGCATAGAACCCAGCTTTAGTGATATCTTTTAAAAGTATTGTTACGACAGCGGAAGTCACGCGACGCTAGTAACACGTCATGATATTCTCGAAGGTTTGTGAATGCTCGAGTGTTTACTGGATGTGCGGTGTTCTTGTATATAAGACCGTCAAGAAGTGATGGCAACAATGGAATTGAATTGCAGACAGAGATAGAGACAGACAATTGAGTCAAGCGCGTGAATCGTTCATTGTGAATTATAGCATTTGTTTAAGTTAACTGACTGTGAGAATTAAGTGTATTGCAAAGTTGTATTGAGAAAGAATAAACTAGTTAGCTTCTTCTGGTGTCATCCTATTGGCTGGCCCAATTATGTTTTTTTCTGCTGATCCTTCTTATTTCTTCCCCCTTCTCTTCTTCTTCTGCTTCATTTCTCTTCCATCCAGCTGTGTCATCACTCTGGCTTCATGTGCAAGATTTGTCTGGTCCTTTGCAGGATGGTTGCCTTCTTCCTATCCCATTCTGTTTGCCTGTCTTCCATAGCAGTTTGTCAGCAGAAGTGGCATATTTATTGCTGCTGTTCTTGGTGTCGATCTTTCTCACCATCCCTTTCAACCAGGGCTGGTCTATGTATCAACTATTGCTGGTTACTGAGTGGCTCTCTTGACTACTTTCTGGTTATATCAGGTTATTCCTTCCCAGCCCTCCCTGTTCTTCTAGCCTACATGACTGAGTCCTTAATGTTGTTTTCCATGCCCTTGCCCTACCTCTCTTTGAACCTTTAACTTCCTGTTCCTTAAAACTTAATTTCTCCTCCTCCTCCTCACCTGTGGTGGTCCGTGTTCTGATATGTACTCCATCAATTCATTTCACATCCTATTCCATTACACCTATACCTTTCTTTGTCTGAAGTGCACTCTTCTTCCAAAACATCTGTGGCATTCACCCCTATATCTCTTCCTTCCATTTTCATCTTTATTCCCAATCAGACCCTGATCACCTCCTCTGACCTGTTCTTGTGGTTTGTTATTATTTGTCTTGCACTTCTTCATTTAGTGCTTGTCTGCGGATTTACAATGCTAGAAACCAGGTTTCGATACCCGTGGTAGGCAGAGCACAGATAGCCCATTGTGTAGCTTTGTGCTTAATTTCAAACAAACACACTATCCTTTTAAATATATTGAATGTGCTGGATGCTGGCATTTGCAGTATTGACAAAGATCACTCCAGTTGGACTCACTCTAACTAGGATCATCTGTGTGCAAAATTTGTATCTTGTTGCCACGGTGACTTTTTCGATACTGTAGAGGATTGACATGCTGGAAAACTGTACCTATTGGCACATACCCAGACAATTATACTTTGTTGTACCTGGCATGGTTCTGGAGAGTGCTCCACATCTGACAGACCTTTAGATTGAGAACATTTTCCTTGGGGAGTTACCTTTCCAGTGATACCATTATTATGCCATGATCAAGTTTTCCAGAATCTTGAAAATTTGGAAAAGTAAAGAAATTTCATTAACAAGTAAAAATATTAGAGACAATTACCCAAAAGCCTGGAAAAATCAGGGAAAAGTGTGCCCCCCTCCCTTTTTTTTTTTAAGAACCTGCACAGACACATCAAAACCACACTATGGTGCAAGTTATTAGTGCATTTTAAGGTAATCTTGATCACTGATTCTATTTTATTTTTATAGTGTTAATTATTCCAATTGATTACATGTAATGATAGGTTAGATCAAATAAGCTTTTATGAATAATAGTGGAGTATTGTTTTTCTGTCTATAATATCATTAACTTGCAGTGGCCTTTTTTTAAAACCATTTTCTGCAGTACTGTTGTCGAAAGTATTCTAAAGATGTTATCAAGTCTTTAATTATTTTTATATACAGATTAGAATATGAAGTGGTGTTAATTAGCTTGGATTATTATGAAAAGGTGAAATATCAATTTGTCATATGTGTGCAAGTCTGAAAATTTTGGAATTTTGCCTGGAAAGTGAGAGAAATTATTTTGGAAAGTTTATGGCTATATTGATATTACATGGAAGCTTATCTCTAGGAAAATCAAGAGAATATAATCTGTAAGAATGGCAGAAACATAAAGGACAGATTTATAGGAAATTGATAAACTAGTACTTACTTAAAATCATAAATAATATTCAACAATTAACTGGTACACAGTTAAAAACATGTAGAGTCGTCAACTTTTTGAAGGCCATAGATAAGCCTAAATAAAATGTTTTTAACTGTGGACCAGTTTAACGTTGAATATTATTTATGATTTTAACTTTATACACAAGTGCCAAAATACTATAATTAGTACTTACTTGTATCAGTTTTTAAACTTTGCAGAGTAGATTGGAGGATTGAAACCGTATTTACAAAAAAAACATAAAACTAATCGCACTCCATAAAAAAAATTATTTCATTCAAACCTAATGTTTCTGCTCACACCTTTCTGAAAGGTTACAGTGTCACATACAGAAGCAAAATGATAACCGAAAAGAACACACACACAACAATTAAAAACTGGCGTAACAATGGTAATATCACATGTTATCTTATGCACATTATATGGAATTAGAATGACTGACAGAAAATTGCAATATATCTAACACATACATACACAGAAAAAAATAAAGATAATAATTACAAATAATTATTTCTGTCTGTTTTACATTTATAAGATTGAATCAGAAGAGACTTTTTCAGTTTTATAAACCTAATACAACAGCTTTTAATTGTTGTATGTGTTCTTTTCAGTTATCAGTTACAATATGTGACACTGTAACCCTTGAGAAAGGTGTAAGCTGAAATATTGGGTTTGAATAGAATTGTTTTTTTCTGCAGTGTGATTTTTTTTTATATTTTTTTGTAAACCGTATTTACTTGCCTTATTAAAGCCTGCTCACAATACCAAAGCTGTACTTCCTAAATTATTCTGTAAGCAGATAAGTTTACTTAACTATAACAAGAGATTTACAGGATTTAATAACTTACTATACAGTGATAGAAGAAAGAAAATTAATATTGTCTGTGTGACTAAGCTAAACAGTGGGAAGTGTTAAGTATATACTTAAGAAATCACATAAATGCAAAAATTGACAATTTAAATGAACAGATATTAGTATGTATGTCTCCAAAGTGTTTTTTGAAATCAAAAACTTAAACTTCGTTTAACATGGAACAAAGACGAAACTGGATAAAAAAAGACTTCTACATTGAGCCATCTTCTTTAGCCAAAAACAGGACTAAAACTGCAACTAGACTCGGAGCAAGACAGGCATTAAGATGTATAGGAAACTTTAAAACAAGAAAGGAACTTCCCTAGATTCCACCAATGAAACAAAAGTTATTATTTAGTTTCTCAATTAAAGAGTTGTTCTTTTCTAAACTTGTGTGTTTTAAAAACAGTATCATGAAATTTTATGTGAATTCCTTTCCTTCCGACAAAATTGTGTATTGAAGTTCATCTTGTTGTCATGCATTTCAAAAGGCTACTGTTCTGTTTGTTAAAATTAATGGTGACAATTGATTATCTAATTTTCTCAATACAAATTGTTCAGGTTATCTATTATAATTTTAATGGTCACTAGGAATTTTTTATTCTAGAAATGTTAATTTCAGAAAATACTAGAACCACTTACATATTTGACAAGCTATTGACACTGTTATAACAATGATACTTACTAAAAGTTTGAGATGAGAACACATAATATTTACATCAAAATGTAACACAATTTCTGTTAATATTAAGAAAATTAATCATAACAGTTTATTATTTACATTTACAATTTTATCAAGGAATATTTGATATGTTCATAATAAAAGGTCTGCAATTATTTGACATCAAACAGTTTTGCACTCTGTTTTAATGTTAATAACTGAATTATTTATTTCATTCTGATGAACATTTTTGAATTACTAATTCTTACATTATCTAACTTGGATAGTAATTAATAATTGTGTAATTCAAATTTAACTTTTTGATCCATTTTTTTCAATGTAACTAATTAAACAGTTTATGAAGAAACTGGAGTTTTCAGTTGTAAGCCTCTAAAAGATTTTTTTTTTTAATTTTCTTTTCTCATAAATAGAAATTGGGAGGTAATCAGGGCTCAGCAAATAAGAAAAAACGAAACAGGAGAGCCAAGTCGTCAAACTTCATTGAAAATGATCATATGAAAGGACCTAATTTTAAAGTTGTTGATAAAACAAGTGAGAGTTCAACTCAAGCTTCTAATATGTGTTCTAGAGTACAAAATGAGCAGTCTAAGGATAACAAATTAGCTCCCGCAGAAGAGTCAACAATTAATCCAAACCTCTCGGAAAGTCAGTATACTTTGAAACATAAGAAAAGAAAAAGTAAGAAGAAAAAATCTCCAATTAGAACTGTTACTGATAAAGAAGAGGTTAGCATGTTGTCAGCAGATGGTGATATTCAGCTGAGTAAGAAAAATGGATTTGGAATAAATCTTGACTCTAGTGGACAGGCATCAGAAGAAAAAATTGTTGTCAGTGGATTAGAGGCAATTAAAACAGCAGTGAGTAATATTGATGTTACTGACAGTATACAGGTAGGAAACCAAGAGTACAAGGAGGATGTACATAATTTATCCCAAAATATTATAGTAGAAAAAAAAATTAATTTACATTGAGGAGACAGAATTAATGTATCTATTTAAAGGCAAAGAGTGTGTGTGAGGTAGAATCAATGTATCTATTTAAAGATCAAGATAGTGTGAGGGAAATTAGTGTATCGATTTAAAGATCAAGATAGTGTAAGAGGAATCAGCGTATCTATTTAAAGATCAAGATTATTTCATCAGTAATCACAGATATTCCATCAATACTCAATATTTCATAAGAGCTTGGTTTGTGATAACATTTCTATAATCTTGAAAACATTTTCCTAATCTACAATTAAACAATCGGTGCAAGGTGAGTTTTGTTTACCCTATTTGGTAAAAGATAAGTATCGTATAAAAAAAACTGAACAAGACCTTTTATCAAGTGATAAAATAAAATGTTTATCAAATAAAAAGAAACAAAAAAACAATCATTCAGATGAAATATTTAGTACAAAATTGGGCAAGGATACTATGAGTAATGTTGTACCTCCTGGAACAGATCACGTTGACTTTGACAGAGATGTAAATTTTTCTTTGAAGTTTAAAGTAGATACTGTATTATGTGATCAGTCTGAAGTTGTTGAAGCAATTTATAGTCAATGTAAAAGTTTTGTATTGGCTAAAGATTTTAACAGGACCACTTTTTCTGATGGAAGAATAAAGTTTTTCAATCTTTCATTCATGTAAAATTTAAGTAAGAAAGGAAAGGAGAGTAATAATTTAGAATTGGAAGCTTCTATAAAATTACTGATACTAATAAAGATAGTCCTGAACTTTACAAATAAATTGAGTATATTGTTAATTAAATTCATCTTCCTGAAAAGAAGTATCAGAATTTAAAGAGATTGGAGTTAGATGTGGAACATTTAATGTTGAAATTATATACAGCCAAAAAAGTAAAAGCAGTTTGTCTGTTTTTAATAATGCACAGAAAACAAAGGTTTATGACCATCAGACACTTGTGAAAGCAGAAAATCTGTTGAAATCAACAGAGTTGGCTGATTCTTTAACTGGAACTTTGAAGTCTTCCATAATGTCTACACACGAAGCATTAAAGGAAGAATCTTGGGCACCATGTACAGGGGCAGGAAAACAGCAGAGGCTTGACTCTCGTGCCTCTAACGAAGAAGGACAGAAAACTAAAGCTCAGCTTAAAGCAGAGAGAAAAGCAGCATTTGTAAGTAGTAAATGTATATCTTTTTCTGGAAAGGCTTGCTATTACTGCATCATGTGAATGTTTCTTTGCAATAGCAATTTAAAATACAGACTATAGGTTAGCACAGGTTACCCATTGTATTTTAAACTACCTGATCAGAATCTCTTCTTGCTTCTCAAGGATCAGTTATTAATTTTTAGAATTTAAAAGAAAATGTAGAAAATATGACAACAATGCAGCTGTAAGTGAAGGTTTCTGGCCAATGTAATAAAGACAAGGTTGAAATGGGTTTTGCATTAATATTGGAGCTTCGTAATTGACAGGATATGAAATTTTACAGAAAACTAACATTCAATAATAACTTTATTCAGTCTAATATACAGATTTGTGGAAATTTTTCCCTATTTTAAGTCACACAAGGTTAAATTATCTGATGTTTTTATGACTTGTGGTATTTGTGAATAGCCATAAGATTTTACCAGTTTAACACAAATTTTTGATTTAAAAGTTTATTTGTAATTTAGAATCTTATGAGAGGTTATTTCTTATTGTAATTTCCAGTATAATTCACTTTAGGATTCAAAAACATTACATTATGGTATGTAATTTTCATTTATGCCTATATCACTTACTGTTTTCACTTCATACATATTTATTTTTAGCAATTCCCAGGCTGCTGGATTTAGTTTCAAACATTACTATACATAAAAACTTTTTTTTTTTTACACAACGGTTAGCATAAAACTAATATATTTTGCATTTGATGAATGATAACATTTTATTTATTTTGACTTTTCATAAAAAAAAATATTAAAGATAATTATATAAGTTTGACTGAATGACGTTTGCTTTCTTAAGTTTGTGTATTATTAAAAACATACCTACCTATATATTACAAACACTCAAACTTAGACCTTCTTATCCTTCATAGTTAAGGTTGACAATCAAAGTTACTGCAAGTGCTTTCTCTTAAACATTGCCCATTCCTACCCATAAACATTTCTTTACCTAGGAATCAGACCAAACTTCTCAAACAGCTAAAACCATTTTTCCATATTAAGTGTTTGTTGGATGTTTTTTTTCAACTCATTATAAAAACTAACCAGCAAAGAAGTAAAATTAAAAGTATTTTAAAGTCTTTTTTTTTTTAAATTGAAATGTTGTTTTAACATTTTGTCCCTTGAATAGGATTTGGAATATAATTTCACAGATATCAAGAATTAAATAATGAAATACATTCTTTTAACTTGATATTTAAACCTTTTTGTTGATGGACTTTTTCAGTTAATTCAGTTTATGCTATTTTTTACATATAGCATGTCTTACCAAGAGACTATATAAAGTGCTTTGTTTTCACCATACAGATTATAAGGTGCAATTTTCAGTGAATAAATAAAGTTATTCATCCATTTTTCTAGGAAATGTTTAATATATTTTTCCATGTACTGTTGTAAGTGTCACATTTCTGGTACAATGTAGCCAGCATGTAGTATTATGTAAAAAGGTGTCAGGGATATTTTGCTTTAGAATTGACAATATATATAAAAGTATACTTAAATGTTTAAGTAATATACAGCTGACACCTGAAGACTGATTGAGAAAAGAGATGATAAACTAATCAATTTTTACAAACAGATATAGGTGTGGAAAATTATCTTAAATAAATAGTAAGTTTTAGGAAAGTTATAGGTCATGAAAGAAATAAGCAAAGAAGAAAAAAAAATTTCTGACAGAGATTACGCCAATGGTTGGAGATCACTGATTCGAGGATCTAGATTACTTCCAAAAGGTTGAACAGTGTTTAGTTTAGCGATCCAATAAGCTTTTTTTATTTCTCTATCAGCTTTAGTTTTGAATCCTGTTTCAGTATTGATGACGGTAACATTGTTAATGGAATGACTGGATTGGTTAAAGTGTTGAGCAACAGGGAGATTTTTTTCGGTGTTAACCCGTTACCTGCCATGGCCATTTTGTCTTGTCGTGAGGGCCAAGTCACATTTGTGAAATGAAAAAAGTATAGAGAACTTATCTCTTATTGTTTCAGATTTTATTTCTGTAAATAGTAGCATAACATTCAGTTATTTATAACAAAATTGTATTATTTAATGAAGTTTAAAGTGAAATTTAATTTTAAAATACGTTTGAAACTATAAATAAGCACCCTCTAAGAAGAAAGTTTTATCTAAATTTTCCTTCTTCTTCATCACTGGTCCTGCCATCTATGATTGGTATCTAAACCTTTTTCTAGTCTGTTTTCTTTATAAAACAGTATCTGAGCTTGTGTAAACCTCAGTTGTAAAACTATTAGCCAATCCTAATCAAAGGTGTCAATTTCAGTGCTATTTATTACAATCGCTGCATTTCACGTTCGACAAATCATAGGATGATAAGCAAAGCACGTGACAGAATGTTGTTTTCCGGATTTTACAACGAGAATATGGGTGGTGCTTATTATAGTAACTGCCATTTTATGTAGAGGTTGTATTTAGCATTGGTCAGTAGTCCTTTTTATTTATAAGCCTTAGAAAACTTGCTTCTGGAAAAAACTGCATGGGGATGTATGTAACTTTTATTATTTTTATATAGTAGCTTAAGTCGTGTTGTATCTTATATCTGTTTATATTAATCGTTATATTGAAAAATTGACTCGGAAAGAGATAATATTTCTTTAGAAAGAAGTTGATCCATGAATGTTAGGGTTAAGAGCTATCGAGTGGTGAGTGGAAGGTCTTTACGTGAATTAGGCTTAGCTCTTTGAACTGAAAGAGTTTGTGATTTTTTTATATTCTTTTGCATTTAAATTAGTGGTTTTAAGTTCAATAATTTAACATAATTTTGTATTTAGTTCATAATAATAATAATAATAATATGATTCAGTATTTAGAATGATAAACTTGTGTGATTTGTACGTAATACTACTAGTATCAGTACCGCATAAGAATTTTATATTTTTCCTCCTTACAATCTTTACGTTGTAGTAAGACCCACACTTCTGTTGTTGTTTCTTTAGAATTAAAAACAGTCTAACTG